GATAGATAAATCAATTACGATTATGTATGAAAGAGTACGATATTTCTTATTAAAAAGATTCTATATCCTTTGCTTTTTTGGAGTCATACAATATGGATATGATATAGATAGTTAAATTCATGCGGGTAAAGTCTGAAATATATTAAATGATCTAATTTCGATTGTAGTTAATGTTTGACAGTTGAAACGGCAGAATGGGGAAAGGTAAAGTTGAGTTGCGACTGGCAACCAACTTTGCTTCTAAACGGCCTCTCTGCTTTATTATCAAAATAATAGGTGTTGGTGTTGATGTGAATGTAAAGAGAAGACCCACATTTACCCTCACTCATCTTCTTGTCAAGAAAATAACAACATTAGTCAGAATCTTAAACTGAAAAATCCTAACAAGATTCAATCAGAATACTGATTTAATTCTTATATATACTTGTTATGAGAAACTTTATTTAACTTTTTCAGGATTCTGTTTAGAGCTTTTCAAGAATAAGACTTTCGAATCCATACAAGATAATGCCAAACGTAATCAGGATCTTGATAGGAAAAGATAAGAACTCGGTTAGAATCTTTGCACATACGTTTTGTACTATTGAGTTCCGTGTATTTCGTGAGAAAGCCTTGACGAATCTTTTCGAATCATAAATCTAAAGGATTCTTTGAAGTTGTATTCAGATTCCTTTTCGGGTTGTGGGGTGGAATTTTTAGTGAGTATGAGAATAGAGAACAACTTCATCAAAACACCTACACTCGCACCCCACTTACACTCATCGTTCATAAGGTTTTTTTTAACTTCTTATGTATTTTCCTTTCTTGACAAGAGATGAAATTTCTTTAGTGAGACCAAAAATACAACTTGACAATAGTATTTGTTTGTATTATCCGTATGAAAAAAAAACTTTAAACAAGCTTCTATCACTAACCAAAAAAATCAGCCTATTCGAGCGAATTGAAGCAGAGATATTTCAATTTTTTATCGTAGTCCTATTTTGTGACCCACTCTTTAGAATAAAAATGAATCACTTTCTGTCTTGTAAGTTATGCAATTGCACAGGAAATGTATCAAATATTTTAGATCATCGAAGGAAGTCTTGTCAGTGTTTTTATTTCTAGATAAATAATGTGTTACATACTCATACTGTCACATATGTTTACCAACCGAATTTAGTGAACTGTATTTCCAACACTAGTGTAAATAGATGCATTTTACATACGAAAGAATGACGAACTATAAACTACCGGAAAGGTAATAGATTTCAATAGTACGTAATGATTATGTTTACACAAAAAGTTTGTTGAATTTTTTATTTCAGTCTCATTTAAGAATCTATTCAGCAATATGCAAGTTACTATTCTATACTATCTTTTCTTGTTTTCAGGATTGAGTTAAGAGAGTCTGATGGAACCAACACGTTACTTGTTTACATATTTATTTACACAAAAATATCAAACTTGTCGTCGAAATATTGAACCATTATGGTATCTTAATGAAACGACTCAAATTATGAAACATGTTTGTCCCATCTTAATTGAGAAGTTTTATTCATATCAATCATTTCGATTAATACCTTCACTAAGTTCATCCTCAGAAGACAAATGTGTACAATATGCAAATGATATGAAAGATCATTATCATCATCATTGACATTTATATCGAGCTTATCAGCAAGGATCTTGTTAATATCGTTCACATTTTCAATATCAACAAAGAAGATCAAATAAATTTCTGTAAAGAATTGTTTGTTTTTTTTCAAAAACCAACAACGTTCGAATATAAATATAAAATAGTCATTTTGGAAATTTTCATAATAATATTTTGGAAGAATATGTTTGTGTTTCTTCAATTTATGTTAATACAATTATGATTCATATATATCAATCGAAATCACTGGGTTTTTTTTGGTTGTTTTAAATTTCGAATATATTATAGTTGATGAATAGAAGATTCGACTAGAAAATCATATTCATTATGTATTTTTTATTATTAAAATAAATTGATGTATATTTTCATTTCTTATTTATTCATCGTTAAATTTTTTGTGAAATTTCATCATATACTTTTTTATCACATGAAAAAGAAAATTTCCATGGTGTTTTTTGTTCTCTGGATTTTTGTCAGTGAATCATTGATAAATTGCTGACTGTTTTGACGTTACGTGGCATACATGTGCCTTGTCTCATGGTATAACACGAACGAAAAAAAAAGAGAAAAAACCCAACCGCAACTTCCGAATTAGCTATTTTATCTGGTTCTGTCTACAAATGACATAAACGTAATTATTGTTGACGGCAAATAAATTGAAATAAGAAATGAAAACATAAATCTAATTGATATCAGTTTATTGTTGTTCATTCCTGAATTTTTTTTCGTTCTGTACGACAAATATGAGTCAGTTTAATAAGTTATTGCACTACCTTGGAATTTTCCTAGTGGATGGCTCAAGTAAAACAAAGAATGAATCAACGAATGTCGACAATAAATTTTTCCAATTGTCGAGTAAGAGGGAAAAAAAGAATAGAATTCTCTCTTTCTCTCTCGTCTACACTTGTATATAAGGATACGTCTTTATATGCATGTAGTCATACGCGAAAGAATATATAGAAATATATTGTTTGTCTTGTCTCGATTATTTCATCATTCAGCCACGTCATTAGAAAATTACATCAGAACAAAAAGTAACTAGATTGTCTCTCTCAGAGTAAAAAAAGTAGTTATATGATAATCAACAGTTAATTATTCTTGTATCTGAGTTGGTTTAGTCTAAATGTCTTTGACCTTTTTTTTTTCTTCAATTTTTACATGCTTGTCATTTTTTCATTTCATCAAAATAATTTTCAAATATAAATATTTTAAATTTTATTTTATTTTATTTTTTAAATTAGCAACAAAACGAATTAAAATATTTCTATAATTGGTTTATTTATTTTTTAATTTCTTCGTAAGAAATAAAATTTATCATACCCTTATTGATATACGCATTTTTTTTTTCGTTTTGTTTTTACTTGGTTTTTTCTTCTTCCTTCCTGTGATAGGATTGCATCGTCTAAGTGAAAATATTCTTATACACATTAGTCATCATACCATTTTCACCCTTATATATATAACACACTAGTTAAGCATTTACATTTACTTTCAGAATTTCAACAAGCAACAACGACACATACAAACGCTCTATTTCATCTGAAATAACAAAAGCTATTATGACTGGCTCAACACGTATATACAATCGTCAACATAGTGCAACAACAGGTAGTTCAAAAATGGAGAAATCTTGTGGTTCACAACTTCGTCGATGTTCATCTACTAATGATCGAGATTCAATTGAATTAATATCTGTTGATGATCAACTTAAAGAAAATTTATTTTATAAACGAAAAAATTCAATAAGTGATGATGATTCAGGTACAGAAGAAATCGAACAACAACTCGAATATATGTGTATAACAAATGTTAATGATAATGAAGATAAATTATCAATAAAATCTTTTGGTCCTAATCTTGATGAAGGTTTTTCTGAATGTGAAATTCAATCTGAATCAACAATTTCACTTATCAAAATAGATCGTAAGTTGAGCAATATTACTTTTTTTTTTGCTTTGTCATTATGACTCAACAAAAATTTGTTATTTCATAATACTAAATGTTGTTTTTTTTCTGTTTTTGTTTTAGTTAACCTTGCTAAAAGTATTCCTGATGATACAAAAAAAAATTTCTGTTTTGATACAAGTGTAGCATTTCATGGTGAATTTGCTCGGCTTATTTCAGTTCCATTATCATTATGTCATAATGTTCGTTATTATCTTTTTGCTGAAGAAGAACTTATCAATGGACCACATATGAATTTTAAAGCTGAATGTCTTAAACTTGACAATGCTAAAGCACAATTTAAATGTCCAGATACAAATTGTCAACATGCATGGACATCAATGCGAGCTCGAATTTCATTTTCAATTAGTTCACCAGATGTTGGATTTATTGTACTTAAAATTTTCGGACAAAATTGTCAATATTGTGGTACATATACTAATGCTCTTTGGTATATTGGTAAGTCTTTTAGTCTTTATTTTTATATTTTGTAATAAATTTTTTTTTTCATATTTTTAGATGAAGTTTGTCGAGTAATGAAAAATTTGGCTAGAGCACTTTTTGAAACCTATTATCCTGATATGATAAACAATGTCGATTTAGAAATTCAGGAAGTAACACAAAACGAAAAAAATCAATCTCGTCAGTCGTCACGTCATGATCCTACTCAAAGAAAAGGAAAAATGTTGGCACCACATGTTAAAGAATTCTGTGAAGCATGTCAACGTGGATTATGTTTTATTTAAAAACAAAAAGAACAGATATTAATTTGTACATAAACATGTTTTTTCTTTAGATCTATAAACATTTTTCTTATTGTTTTTACCTATTGGTTAATTTCTGTGTGACTAAAATATATACAAATACTACATAAAAAAACAGCATATATTTTTCTTTTTTCTCTTTTTTTTTTGTATAAATCTACTTTCTTTTGTTTTTTGTGTATAATTAGTGTGTTTTGCGTTCTTTTTTTTCCAACATGCTTTAATGACATTTCTAGAAAATTAATTCTGCGTGTTGCATAATAAAATATATACGTATATATATTAAAACTAAAAGTTAATTTATTATGATTACACCAAAACACAAATTCGAGGTTTTTACTTTGTTATGAAAGATAAGCAGGGTTTTTATGTATGAATGCGGGTATAAACAAAAAAGCAAAAGATGTATATATATAAGTTGTTTTTTTTTATAATTTTGGTATTTGTAATGGAGATATCATGAGAAGAGCAAGTCCGATCATAATTAAAGGTGATACAAAAGAAAAAAGTGCAAGTAATGCAACAACAATACCAGCAGCTGGAATAGGAAGACCAATAAAATAATCATGTGTTGGATTAACATTAAATCTTGCTAAACGCCAAGCACCAGTTAAGCTAAAAATTACAAAAAAAAATTCGTTTTGTTTTTTATTTTTCATTATCTTATTTTTCTTGTCAAACATACGGAAAACTAATAAATGCAATAACCATTAAAAATGACCAATGTTGGATGGAATGAGCAAGTATTGCTGGTGCAACACCAAATGAAACAACATCAGCTAATGAATCTAATTGCGCACCTATAGCAGATGAAACACGAAGCATTCGTGCAACGCGTCCATCAAAATAATCACATACGGCAGCCAAAAGTATAAATAATGATGCAAAACGATGAAGGCCATTCATAGACATTATTAGTGAAAAAAGACCACATGTTAAATTAGCTAATGTTAATCCATTTGGTGTACCTCGAATAAGTTTTTGTGCAAATTGATCGCCTTTTTTTAAATAAATATTAACTGCTGTATTTGTTTCTTGTATCACTTCGTTTGTACGCGACATTTTTATAAATAATATTTAAATTATCAAATGATTGGATCTTATCTTCAAGCAAATAATTATTCGAATTTTCAAAAAAAATTTTCTAAATTAATATGAAAACAAAATTGATTTTATATTTTTATTTCAAATAGAAAAAGAAAGGTTATACGAAAATCTTTATTTTGTTCTAACGACATCTTTTAAATAAATGATGAGTAAAACAATACACTGCTTGTGCAATACTCTTCGAACGTTCGATGATAAGAAAAACCTATGTTCGTAATAATTTTGTTTTTTTCTTTCATTTTGCGACGATAATTAAGAGACATGGGCAATACGAAAAGAATCAATCATTTTACTTTTGATCGAAGTCAAATTTTTTGTCAACAAATCAAATAATTCGATCAAAAAGGTTACTATCACTATCGTTATATCAGTTCTTCAGATTATATATATGCTGTATATATATATATATATACATGTCATAGGCAAAACTAACCTTGGATAGAATTCGTTTTTAATTAGGCGCAAAATTACGAAAATAATATACACGTGTTATTTTTGTGTAAATAGAGTATTCATTTTTACTTATTCATACTGTAATGTATGCATTCGATGATTTCTTCTGTATCGACATTAAAAAATGCATTTCGAAAATATTTTTATGAACACGCGAAACAACATTTTAAATTATTGAAGTATTAAATTCTAAGAAAAGGCAACTATTATTCTATCATAAGGAATATATAAGCTAAAAAATTCTTCATTCTTTTGGATTGGAAAATGACTGATGAAAACTTAACAGTATTATATATTTATCACCTAGGAACGACGTTAAATTTGAAAACAAATAACTATTGATGAAAAATACTAGTTAAAAAGCATAAGCTTAAAGATCCTTTCTTTTTATTATTGTTGAAACATGCTAAGACAAATTTAATTTCAATTGAGAACACTGGCGATTTCTGCAACTTCCTAGATTTAACTAGATTTCAATTAAATTTGAACATAATTTAATATATATCACTATGTGTGAAGCTTAAGGAATGTGTGTAATCTGAACAAATATACCAATATGTTCAGGTAACGCTTTCATTTCATTGTTTTTAAAGAGGCTCTTACTTCTGTACATTTATCAAATATTCTGAAGTGAAATAATAAAGTAGTATGTTTGTAAGTTTTTCATACCTATGTTGATTCTAGCAAGTAATATAATGAATAGAAGAGTGTAAACAGAGCGTCAGTTCGGGTAGAAAATAGGTTTAATCATTCGAAAAATTATATGTAAAACCAATGAGAGAAGAGAACATATTTTTCTTCTATGTACTAATCCAATCCAATGTTGTTTCAATAGAATTTCAAAATTCGTTTGTATTTTACTTGTTACAAACAACAAACTTAAAGTTAAATTTTTTATTTTCTTTATCTATAAATTTTACACAGTATTTAAGTCAAGAGAGATACACAAGCTATTGCTTCATTTTTTTCCACCAATAAATTTGAATCTCAATAGTCATTGACTAGTGTAACTGTTTAGCTGAACTGCAAATTTCACACAAGAAATGTATGATAACTGAAAGACATCGCATCTTTACCTATAATACAGAATTATTTCTTTTATCTCAGTTTTTGTAAATTTTAGTCTGTAATATTTAGGTTCTTCTATTAGAATGCTCACGCATACATAATAGTCAATATATAACATTTCATGGTTGACTACACACGGATTTGATGGTTTTCTTTTTATAATAGAATCACTATCAGAATGATTGTGTATTTGTCTAACAAAAATCGCTTTTAAAAAGCATCAAAGTTTTATTATAATGAAATATTTATCTTAATCGAAATTATTAAATTTTAACAAGAATGACTTTTACATAAACTTTAAATTTGCTAAAAAGATTTATAAAGTCTGATCAAGTTTTATTCATTTGTCATGACAATTTTTATTTTTATTTTTTTGTTTTAAAATCGCTGATTTCTAATATCAACATGTATTTGACATTGAAAATAATTAGATGACACTAGTTGTCAGTACTATATAAACGATAAATTTGAAAAAAAGATCTAGAGAAATGGTAATTGGTATCCAATGAAAGTGTCGATAGCAACGGCTATTCATTGTCAAATAAATCTTTCAAACATGTTTGTTTTTTTTTTTGTTGTTGTTGTATAATGCGAACTTTATATATATATATAGTACGCATTTATTAATACATTGATTTCTATTTAGTCCATAGATTTAATCTATAGAATATCTTATTATGGAACAAGTATTCGAACAAAAATTAATGCAAGCAGCTCAAGCTGTCGAAGAACAAGTTATTATAAAGACAATAAAATAATCCATTTTAATTATTTTAATCTAGGTTGATGCTGAACTTAATCGTTTAGAAAAATTAACTGAAGAGGATGTTGAAAAATTTCGTGCTCAACGACTTGAATCAATGAAACAAGAACATAAAAAACGTCAAGAATGGCTTGCAAATGGTAATAATAAAAAATAATTATTTGTTTTTTTCTTATTAAATTATAAATTTTCATTAGGTCATGGTGAATATGAAGATTTACCAGGTGAAAAAGAATTATTTGATATAACAAAAAAAAGTGAACGTATTGTTTGTCATTTTTATCGTGATTCAACAATGCGTTGTAAAATTGTTGATAAACATTTAGAAATTTTAGCACGTAAACATATTGAAACAAAATTTGTTAAATTAAATGTTGATCGTGCACCATTTATAACTGAACGTTTACATATAAAAACATTACCAACTATTGCTTTATTAATTGATAATATTGTTAAAGATAAAATTATTGGTTTCACTGATTTAGGAAATCATGATGAATTTTCAACTGAAATACTTGAATGGCGTTTAGGTCGAGGTGGTGCTATTGATTATAAAGGTGATTTAAAATCACCACCAGATGATAATGAAAAGAAAAAAACAATTAATTTATTTGGAAAAAAACCAAAAACAATACGAAATGGAATGGGTGGTGACGATGATGACGATGATGATTAAATTTGTCAGAGTTCTTTTTTTTTTCGTTTAGTTGGTTATTCTATTCAAATGATCTTTTGTTATACATGCCTCTGTGCTTTTGTTTCTTTTCGTAGCACGCAAATAAAACAAAAAACAATATCTATATAAGAGATCGAAATTGTTTGTTCAAACGATTTCCGTGAGTAAATAATCTTAAAAAGGTTCTCATTGCTTTAGAACAAGAGAAAAAAAACATGAGGGATATTTTTGGATGCATTAAGATAGGTAATATAGACGATGGGTTTTTATACGATCGGACGCAAAATTCAATTCTCAATAAAAATTTAGTACATTAAGGTTTTAGTTTTCACAATTTTACGATTGAGTAGGTGTTAATATTTTGACTTCTACATCCACATGGAAACATTCTTTGAGAGGTAATGCTGATAGTTTAGTAGAGAATTGAATTCTGTATTGAATATGCTCAGAATGACATCTAATAAAGATCGTTATGTCTCTGAAAGACTTCAAATAAAAGTCGCCCATTCTTTCTGTGCTCCTAAGGAGCTTCGAATCCACGTTTTTGTGGATCTGGACCAGAGTCTGTAAGGACTCGCAGCTCCTTATGCGCCATCCATTCATAGATGAAGACTTTAACTATAATTTTTACCGTAGTTTGATACATTATTTTTATTCGATCGAAGTTTGATTTGGTTATTTATCAACATTTTTCATTTAGTCTTCTCAATGGCTACCAGTATTCATATCTTGAAGTGGCAACTGAGTAGAAGTTTTTGGTAGCATATTCACTCAAATTTCCTTCTCTTTCCAGTTCTGTACAAATATGTCAATAGACTATTTGCATTTTTTCACAGTTCGTAATTTCTAAGAATATTCCAGACATACCGTACGCGATGAATTTCAATAATTCTCCATCATAACATGAGTATCGACGTCAAAATAAAAAAACAAATCCTAGAACTAATACAAATTAAAACCCTATCTCAAGAAGAATTTCTATATAACAATGATCTATTAACACCAGTATCTTGTTTTTCTTATTGTTGCATTTCTTTTGATCTTGCCACGATCAATATTAATTTTTCTCTTTGTTTCAAAATATACACAAAATAGAAAACAAAAATCAAAACGAAATGTTCATAAGTATTTACATACTATTTTACTTAAATAACTTAATAGTGAAACAATTAGTAGCGTTCATATTAAATCAATGATCCTATAAATAATACATTATTAACCAATCTAGTTATTGAACAAAAAACAACAGATAAATTGCCTAATATGCTGGCAAGTTCAATGATTTTAACGTCTTCTCGATATAGATTAACTATCTAACTGATCCAATATTAACATAGAACATTAAAAGAAATAACTAAAGCTCGAAAACCACAAATCAAAACCCAAATATCGATTAATTCAAAGACTACGAACGAAATTTTCTTATAACATGGAATAGTAATTCTATTAAAAGATTTCTATACCATATTCCGAAATTAGAAATAATTAAATTTATTCTTAATAACCGCGACTATATTGTTACAAGTCTTTTAAAATGATTCTATGTTATTTTATAACTGTTTATTTTGTTTCAAAAATAATTTATAAAAAAAAAAATTTATCTTAATTATCATTCCTTTGGAATACTAATATCAATTATTGATCTTTGATCAAATTGTTTTTTCCATTGATAATTCATTTGTTTAAGTCTTGCTTTAATATAATCAACAACAACAATATTATCATATGAATATGATTTTGGCCACCAACCTTGAAGATAACTAACATGTCCACCTTCTAAAGTTTTTATTGCAATAATATATGAATTTTGTAAAATATCATCATTTGGTAAACCATCAATAGGACATATTGGATCATCAATAGCATTTAAAATAAGTGTTGGTATACGAATATATTTTAACCATTTATTTGGTGAAGCTTCAGTATAATAATGTTCAACATCTCGATAACCATATATTGGTACAACAACATGTGTATCAAAATCACGTACTGTTTTTGATTGATAAGCATGATTAAGATTAAGATATAAGTTTGAATTTGGATTAGAAAAATGTTCTTCATGTTGTCGTAAATATCGTATAAGATTACTTGTTAAACGACGATTATACATACGTATATGAAACCATTGTTCGAGATTATTTGTACTTAAATGCATATCAAAACTTGCACAACAAACAATAGCACCTTGTAATGAGCATTGATTATTTTCTTCACCAAGAAATTTTGTTAGAATACCAGCACCTAATGAATAACCAACAGCAAAAATTGGAGTTTCTTCTCCAACAATAGAACGAATGTATTTTACAGATGCACGTAAATCATTTGTATTTGCAGCACAAAATGATTTAGGTGATGTTAATTTTGATTGACCACATCCACGTGCATGTGCTACAACACAACATAAATCAAGTTTTGAACTAGCCAATAAAATCATCCAACGAACATATTCATCATGAGAACCACCTGTAAGTCCATGAAGAATTAATAAAATAGGTTGACGATAATAAGGACGTGTATGCCAATCTAATGCAATTGTTCCACCAGTATTATCAACTGTAAGAAATATACGTTCAAATGATATTTGTGGTAATTGACGAAAAAGAACACCGAATATTGTCATTAAATGTCCATTGAATATCCATGGTGTTGGACGATATTCAATAAATGATGGGCATTGATTAAGTAGAAATTTATTTTCTTCTGTTGATTGCATTATAATAATGGAAGGATATCGTTTTATTATTCTCCATATTAATCTGGCAATAGCTATTGTGCATGGAATTAAAACAACTAAAATATTGGAATTATCTTTTAGATACGACCACATTTTGTCGAATAAACTAATTGGTGTTCCAAAGATCACATATTCCTACTCAAGATAAACTATGCACATATGTCATTCACCATCGCATTAAAATGATGACTAGCCTCTGCAATATAAAAGAGGGCGTTGAATATCAATCGATTTGAAATATTTAATTTAAGTATGAAAATTGATGTTAAAATTTTTGTTAATACAAATTATAATTAGTGTCGATTATTATCACAGAGAAAATGAATAGTTAAAATCTGAAACATGGATATAGTAGAAATCAAAAATAAAACATATTCTTCTTTTCATCTTATATCTTTACCTTTTTTTTAGTATCCTCGATTATATCGAAGAATTAGTAACACTAACATCTAAAAATGATCATATACAAATTAGTGAATATCTAAAGGTAAAAACAAAATTCTCAGATCAATTATTTCGTAGGAAAGATGTCGTTCTCTGGTCGAAAAATGATAAGAATTTGGAAGTACTAACTATTATGATGATTGTATCCTACGGTCGGTTCTACTAAGTTATGGCTGTTTCTTGTCGAAAGTGAGGAAATCCAACCACTGAATCCAAATATTGTATTTCTGTTTTCACTTTCCGAAATCTTTCGGACGACACTGACTGTACACCATTCACTTGAATTTTTACATACATCTTTAGGTTTATTGTATATGAAGAATCGATATTGTATCATGTTCATGATGATGATTATACTTAAAATGAATGAAGAATTTAGGAAACTTTTTACGAAATATTGATCATCATAGTCAAAACAATAATGTCGAATGACTAAGAGATGAATTTCGTAGTTATTCAATTAATGATCGATTGAGAATTTATTTCGGAATTGAAATTTCATGAAAATAATTAAATTATTTAATCAGAACATTTATGTACCATTTATCTGTGTTATTGAAGATATTTATTATAAATGTCTACACAAATTTTATGTAATCGAACGTTAGTTCAATTAGATTTATATGCATTCCGTTTTGGTACAATATCATTATCGACAAAAACTAAGCAGAATTTTTAAGGAATTGTGAGGATGTGTTAAACTCAAAATAGTTGTATAAGATGGTGCTTGTTGCGACAACATGATTCCAATCTAGTCTTCAGCGCATTTGTAATATTTTTGGTAAAAGAGAATCTTTTTTTATTTTTTCAGTTTAATTCGAATTAGTGATTGCTATTCTTAAAGCTCTAGATGATCAGATCTTAAAAAGACCAGTAGTTAACAGTAAAATGATCAAATTAATATCGAGTTAAATTTCTAAAATGACTGTGCAATTGTAAAAGAAATAAATCGTATTTTAAAGGCAACTATGATATAACTATCAGTCATTTGTTAGTTTAAGCGAAAACTGGATGCACTATATGTTAGTGTGGATGTTCAAGTAATAAAAGATTCACACCCACACCCACACTCTCCATATTACATGGACGAAAATTAATTCTGATTAGAAAATTCTTGTTTCCTAAGACTTGACGTATTCGTTCATATATCGCTTTTTAATTTTCTTTCATCTAGTAAAAGTTTCTGCTGAACCATATTAATAGTCTGTGGTAAATAGCTGTGCCTCAAACACACTCCCTAGAAAGTCCCTTAAGATGTATTCCACGGTACAGTAACATAGTGAGTTTTGTGGAATTGACTTTGCTCTATCAAATTCTATTTTTTGGAGCTTTGTACAGAAATTTTGCTGAATAAAATTTGTTCTGATAGATGGCTAAATGTAATCAAGAAAAGCAATTGTCTAACTGCAGAATATAGTTTTTAAAACTTCGATTGACACATGTAAAATTATATATATATATTTTGGTTGATAAATGATACATCTAGAAGCAATAGGATTGAATAGCAAATACTATGATAATGAGTGATTGTGCAAAAAACTGTTGATAAAAGAAAAGTTTGTATATCTATTTTACAGCGCTTATTCAAATCTGATTCTATGAAAAAACTAACACTTTCTATGGTACCTGCAGCAATATATGTCGTATAAATTTAACTTCACTTCAATACTGTTATAAAAATATCTTCAAATGCATCAAATACGATAATTTTTAGTATCCTATCAATAACTTTTAAAACCAGATAGGCTATATTTATTTTCATGTGTGTGTTAGACTTCTCTTCAGCCACACTCACACTCCAAAGACCTGAAACTTCCAGTGA